ATTTGTTACAGAAATAAAGAATCAATTTGGTGTGCCTGTACGTATACTTCGCAGTGATAATGCGAAAGAATATTTTTCCACTCCTTTTAATACCTTTATGACTAAGTCTGGTATTATTCATCAGTCCTCTTGTCCTCACACTCCACAACAGAATGGAGTTGTTGAAAGAAAAATTGGGCATTTAATCGAAATTGCTCGAACACTATTGTTGCACATGAATGTGCCCAAACAATTTTGGAGTGATGCAATTCTAACTGCATGTTATTTAATTAATCGCATGCCATCTAATATTCTTGGAGGTCAATTACCTCACTCCATTCTTTTTCCTCATGAATCTGTGTTTAAATTGCCTCCTCGTATTTTTGGATGTGTGTGCTTTGTTCATCAGCTTGCTCCCGGGGTGGATAAATTAGATTCTCGTGCTATTAAGTGTATTTTCTTAGGATATACACGAGCGCAAAAAGGGTATAGATGTTACAGTCCAGTTTTAAATCGATTTTTTACTTGTGCTGATGTTACTTTCTTTGAATCCACTCCGTATTTTATCAAGCAAAGTATGTCTTGTGAATTAGACCAGTGTCCCTCTTTTTCCTCTCCTGTTTTACCAGTCCCTTCCCCTTTATTACCTGAGTTGTCTAGTCCACCAGATTCCATAGCTCGATTATCTCGTCCTCATCTTCAAGTTTACTCTCGTCGTTCCATGGTTGAGAAAGTTCCTGATATGCCACGCACTTCACCAATTAACTCTCAATCTTCAAATCCAGGTATGACGCCCTCCTCTGAGTTAGATCTTCCTATTGCTTTACGCAAAGGTAAGAGACATTGTACTTCCCATCCTATTTCTAATTTTGTTTCTTATTCTCGTCTCTCTATGTCATATTCTTCTTTTGTTGCTTCTCTTGATTCTATCTCTATTCCTAAGTCTATTACCTATGCTCTTAATCATCCTGGTTGGAGATTAGCTATGCAAGAAGAGATGTCTGCTTTGGAACAAAATGGTACTTGGGATCTTGTCCCTCGTCCTTCAGGTAAGCCTGTTGTTGGTTGTAAATGGGTGTACACTATAAAAGTGCAGCCTAATTGTTCTATTGATAGATTGAAGGCTCGGTTGGTAGCTAGAGAATTTACTCAGGTGTATGGAGTAGACTATTTAGAAACATTTTCTCCTGTTGCAAAGATTACCTCTGTCCGTCTTCTTATCTCTTTGGCAGCAACTTATAATTGGCCATTGCATCAGTTGGATGTGAAAAATGCATTTCTGCATGGAGATTTGGAAGAAGAGGTATATATGGAACAACCTCCTGGATTTGTTGTTCAGGGGGAGAATCCGCGGTTGGTTTGTCGTTTGAAAAAATCCTTATATGGATTGAAACAGTCCCCGAGGGCTTGGTTTGGCCGGTTTAGTAGTGTTGTCATGGAGTTCGGTCTGACAAGATGTGGAGTAGATCACTCTGTATTTTATCGGCATTCTAATGCTGGTAAAATTTTATTAGTTGTTTATGTGGATGACATTGTGATTACAGGTGATGATGTTGTGGGGATTCAGAAACTTAAATCCAATCTGCAGGCAAACTTTCAGACAAAGGATTTAGGTCATCTATAGTATTTTCTGGGTATTGAGGTAGCTCGGTCTAAATATGGGATTTATTTATGTCAAAGAAAATATGTACTCGATATGTTGAGTGAAGTTGGGATGTTAGGTTGCCGACCTGTGGATACTCCTATGGATCCCAATGTGAAATTAGCAGGAGATCAAGGTGCATTACTTGATGATCCTAAGCAATATCGAAGACTTGTGGGTAAATTAAATTATCTCACTGTAACGAGACCTGACATTTCGTTTGCAGTGAGTGTTGTGAGTCAATTTCTTGATACCCCTCGTACTAGTCATTGGGATGCTGTTATACGGATTCTCAGGTATCTTAAAAATGCTCCTGGAAAAGGGTTGCTGTATCAAAATCATGGACACAATGATATTGAAGGATATAGTGATGCAGATTGGGCTGGTTCTGCCTCAGATCGAAGATCGACTACAGGATATTGTGTGTTTGTTGGTGGTAATTTAGTGTCGTGGAAGAGTAAGAAGCAAACAGTTGTATCCAGATCAAGTGCAGAATCTGAATACCGCGCTATGGCTCACACTGTGTGTGAGTTGGTTTGGGTGAAGAGCATGTTACTGGAACTTGGGTTTGAACATAAACAGCCTATGAATTTAGTGTGTGATAATCAGGCGGCTGTTCATATTGCGTCTAATCCAGTGTTTCATGAAAGGACAAAACATATTGAAGTTGATTGTCATTTCATTCGAGAGAAATTGCTTGACGGGGTCATCAAGACATCTCATGTACCGTCTGTAGATCAATTGGCTGATGTATTTACTAAGAGTTTAGGGGGCTCTAGGGTGAAATATATTTGTAACAAGTTGGGTGCTTATGATATATATGCTCCAACTTGAGGGGGAGTGTTAGGAGAATATTAGTATTCTTATAGATAATAAATTAGTAAGGGTATTCTTGTAAATAGTCTGTTAGGTTTGTACTCCTATAAATACTAGTTGGTCACTCATAATAGTGTGACTAGATGTTTTCCTCCCAAGATACCTGTTGACAATTTCAAAGAAAGAAGCCGGAAGGAAGCTTCTGTTGGATCCAAAGAGGGGACTTTTGAAGCAAATCATTAGGCAGTTTGATTCAGTTAGCCCATTGCGGAAGAAAGGGGTATATAAATCCCTGACAAAGTCGATATCTTTCTTCTTTAAAACATTTTGTTCCTTCATTTTGCTTTGCTACTCAGGTCTCAGGAACCATCCGTAACTGCTGTTTTGAAGCTGAAAGCCAGCTGCAGAATCTTCTTTTGATCTCAGAATTTCTGTGGCCAGCTCTACTCCTGCCAGTTGCTGGAAACAAGGTTATGTTGCAGTTTTGCCAATTTTGAGGTTCAATTTGGTTGCTACCGATTTGCTGACAGATTGCTTAAACAAATGGAATTTCATTTTCATTAGTATAGGTTCTTTTTCACCTCCATTTAAAAAAAAAAATCAACTTGAATTGGTTATGTTTTCAGCTAGCTTCTCCTGGACTTTTCTTCTCCTTTTCCCACACATTCCTGTATTTGCCTAGTCCTGAACTTTTCTTCTCCTTCCCACACATTCCTTTAATTGCCTAGTATTTGACTCTCTGTCTCATGGATTAATTGCCTTGCAATAGATATATAGTGAGCAAGACACCTCTAAAATGCCACTCGAGCTTGCAAGTGCACTTTCAATTGAGCGCGAGCCAGTTGCTGATCCTGACATACGTGTCCAAGCACTTGAGGCCATTTACCTGCTGGTATTGCAGGTGAGATTGGCATCTACTTGTCTCTTGTCTCATACAGGAATATGAATTACTCGTTCAATAAGTTTAGTCAAAAATTTATTGAGAAGTCTACTTCAAGTAGTTTGTACCCACTATTGGAAAGAGTGGACGTGCACTCAAAAATGGATCAGTTCTTTTCCTATCATGATACTTACGGGCAGTGATGTACGTAAAGTTCCTCATTGATGATAAATGGTGATTTCTTTTGAAGTTTTTGGACCGTCTAATACAAAACCTGTTCGATAATGCCAATCTTTCCAATATTTCAGGAGGCAGGTCTAAGGGCATTTTGGTCAGTTAATGGACCTCGAATACTGCAAGTAGGTTATGAAGATGAAGGACATCCTAAAGTGATGGAAGCATATGAGCAAATTGGTGCCCTGGTATTTCATATTGGATTTTCTCGCCTCACATCCATTTTAATTTTTTATTTGACATTTCCGTTCTACTGCAGAAGTGTAATCTGTTTCCTGGTGTTGGCAGCTGTTGCAAGAGAGCAGCTCTGGTGATTAATCCACGGAGGCACCGAACCTGGTTAATGTGACCTTCTTTTTCATCTTCAAGTTCCTCAAATGCAGGAACCCTCAAGCATGCAAAAGGATGCATGAATTCCAAATTCTTTCGTGCTTTGGAGGTTGTCCATCAGTTACCGCTCCATTTCACGATCCTTGATGGTTGCTGCTTAGCAATTTGACGCACTGATTTCGTCAGTGATCTTTTCATTGAAGAGAGGAGCAAAAATTTACTAGACTGCTGTTATTGTTGGAGAAGAAACACAATCAAGCACCGCATATTATCATGTCTTCGGCTTAGAGACATTCAAATGATGCAAGTTTGTTTTGATCAGTTTCTTTCCACCCTGGACACGTTTGTTTGGATTGCTGGGCTGCCTGGATTGTGGGAGCTTCATCCATTGTCGGCATCCTTTCCTTGCTGTATTTGGTTAATGATGCTAACAGAAAGAAACTGGCACAAAAACTCGCTTGCCTAGCCTGTTCCATAATTCTATGCTCCCTGTTTAGCACTTAGGATTGGTACCACTAATATATCAATGTGTGTTTTGTCTCCTTAGATGGTGCATTCTATGGTTAACTCGAGGGTTTCATGGCGTTATATCCCTTTTTTACCTTCTTTTCTGTTTTCTTCTCCGGACGTTTTCCCTTCCCATTTCTTTAGTCTAATTTTCTCCTCTTAGTATATATTTTCTTTTCCTTCATAGGATCAATGAATTACATCAAAATAGTACCATAAATGTCGGATGATGCTTCTTATGAAGAGTTTCTATCTTTTAAAAAAGAAAAAAAAAAATCCCTGATACCCTACTGTTATACCCACGATCAGCAGCACGCCTCCGCTATAGATTTTTTTTTTTCCAGAAAGCATATGTACCGTCTCAGTGAAGCATTAGAATACGTTTTTTTTTTTTTGGGTATAAAACTCATTCAAATTCATTTTAAATTAATCAATCAGTCAAAAACTACAGCTTAGTATACTGACTCAGCATCGGGACGGGGCAATTAATTCCACCTTCTGCGCTATCAAAAGTTACTGTAACTCTGTAACCGTTGTCACATGGCGCCAAAATCTCCAAAGTTTTCAAGTTTCACCTTTCACAGCGCGCCAAATTAGAAACCTCCGAAAACACACAGACGCGCACCCCACCTCAGATGGTTCCCGCCATTGCCGTTCCCTCCCAAATTTCTCAAAATAAAAGAGGAAAATGCCCTTCCCATCTGAACCCCATTTCTCACTCTCACAAATTTTCCAATCTGAGAAACCCAACTTACAGAAAAAAAAAAAAGACAATGGACCTCTCAGAAATTGCCAAAAAGCTTGGCCTCTCACAACCCAAACACCTTATCCGCAAAGCCGCAGAGCTCCGCCGCCTAGCAGACGCCCAATTTGATTCCTCTATCATTGGTGTTGTAAGCATCCTAATTTGGATTATAAGCTTCTACTCTTTCTTCCAACTTTCTTTATGAGTTTATTAATTGATTAACTTGTTTTTTTGGTTGATTTTCATTTTAGGGGGAGATCTGCAAGGCTATAATGTGCTTAGAGATTGCTGCTTCTAGGTACTGCCATATTGTGTATTTATTTATTTTGGTAACTTTTCTTTTTGTTGAATTGGGACGTTAAATTGTAGGGGTCCTTTACTGAAACGCGGCCAAATTTTGTTAAATTTGAGTTGGATTGAATACGTATGTATTTTAAATATCTTTTTTGATTTTGGTCAAAACATTTGTAGGATGGATGTGATTTTTGATCGACAAGCAGCGATAAGGTTAAGTGGGATGTCAGAGAGGGCTTATATTAGATCCTTCAATTCAATGCAAAACGGCATTGGAGTCAAGTATGTTATCCAGTTTCTTGGTTGATGGTATTATTTTATTAATGAGAACCCTTTTTTTTTTTTGCGTTGGTATCAGTTAATGAGAGGTTCTTTTTCTTTTTTCCTTTTCTGGTGTGTGTAGGAACAATGTTGATGTTAGGGAATTGGCAGTCCAATTCGGATGTGTAAGGCTCATTCCATTTGTTCACAAAGGCTTGTCTTTGTAAGTTTCAAACTCAACTGCTATTGTTTCATCGTGCTCAACAGATGTTGTAAAACACTTTAAGAACAATATATAGATTTTGGATTATAAGCCTTCTTTCTCTTTGGAGCATTGTGTGTTGATTAGAGTAAGAAGGCTAAAATTTTTGGTGTTAAATGTACAATGTTTGCTTAGAGTACGTTGCAAATTTTGGACGTGTATCTATGTGGAGTTGTTGATAGTTTTGTCATTCGTGAGTGCATTGAAGATATTTTAGCATTTAGGAATGCAAACGTGTTCTTATATACTAAATAATTGCAGATTGGTAAAGATTTGGACACCCATCGATAAGGGATTATTTTGTTATATAGGAACACATGAAAATAATTCTCTTTGTAGGAAGATGAATTCTGTCATTCTTCATATTATTGAAGTTTCCTTTTCTCGTGCTGATTTTCAGATACAAGGATCGATTTCTTTCTTCCTTGCCCCCATCTCGTAGGGGCACTGCTGATTTCACTCGCCCTGTATTCACTGCTGTTGCATTCTACCTTTGCGCGAAAAAATACAAGGTAATACAGGCGCATCCTTTGCCTGCTCCATGCAAGCAAAGCAAATAAAGTAGAATTATAAATTCTTAACTAACAATCCACTGGTGATTTTGCAGCTGAACGTAGATAAGATAAAGTTGGTTGAAATCTGTGGCACCTCAGAATCTGAATTTTCAAGTGTAAAGGCTATATATTTTCTTATACCTGCAATTTTGTTAGTTATCGGGCATCGTACTTCCATTTTTTGAAAACTCAAGGAATGTTGAGCTGGAAATGCTTTGACAGGTATCCATCTCCATGAGGGACCTATGCTTCGACGAGTTTGGCGTGTCAAAGGAGAAAAAGGATCCTAGGGAAATAAAAGGAAACCGAGGTAGGAAGCTGATCTGACTGATCTTATAGTATGTTATTGTGATGTGATTCGCATATTAGGCTTTTCATACATTTCAGTGGCTTAGTTGAGGCTGTAATTGAAAGTCTAAACTCAATTTTCTTTTACCCTATGCATATGCAGCACTGCTGGATGCATTGCCTGAAAAGAGGACCGCGGAGGATGGTGGTTATTTATCTGATGATGGTGGGGAGGTAATTACTTGAGAATCTCATACCATGAAAGGATTCCAGTTATGATCAGTGACTGACACTATCTAGGCAACGTTCTCGAAATCAAATTCACCAACTAGATTTGATGCATTACCGAAGGCAAAGTGTCTATCTATGATGGAGAAACACGAACATTTTCTTAACTAAATTAGAAAACTGTTTCTTTTATCCTGAAATTGGACTTGCACCGTAGCTAGGTTGCCCACGGTATTATATGGTCTTTTGTCCATTGAAGTTCTAATTGTATTTCATAACCCAACTGCAGCCTTCTGCCTATAAAAAGCGTAAGCGAAAGGACAGACACGATTATGAGGAGTGGAAATCTGCAGTTCTGGGTTGTAATGGTCGCACCAAGGCCAAAGGTAGAGAGCTAGCCCTCTTTTTTGAATATCAACAGTTTGATCAAACATAACTGCAGGCTCTAACGTTGTTTTGAACAACTAATCCTCACATGTACGAGTGTTTTGCTGTAGCCCCTGCTAGGAGAGCAAAACAAGCCAAGCTCAGCTTTTTGAAGAAGGCTGTTGAAACACAGGTGCAAGCTACATGAGGCACATTCTTCCTCCTTTCGGCTTTTGTTGATGAGCCTTCGGATTCATGTTATCTCACGAGAGCTGAATGACTAATTCTTTTATTTATACTCCTAACTGGAGATGCGCAATGGTTCATGCCGACTCCCAACCTCTTTTGTTGGTACTGCCTTCTCCATGGGTCGCAAAATGAGCAAACATGCATAGGAAGTGCCCAGTAACTTAAAAACTGCTCTAGCGTCACAGAGATCGCTGTGTGCTGTACGAAGCAGGAAGAAGTATATATTTACTACTGTACATGGTTACCTACATGCTTCAGCATCAAATTTTCCCACCTGTTAGCTTATTTAAAGCTGTTCAATTTGCCATTAGAGATTCAATGCCCTTTTATGCAGTAGGTAAAAAAGATTGAATTTTGGATACTAGTTAGTTCATTGATGGATGGACCTGTAGCATAACTTGTTTATGTTAATTGAATTGGTAAATGGAGAGGTTCATTGGGGGCAGGTTATCAGTTGTTACAATAATATTAATAGAAACTTTTTAACGGATGTTTGATGAGTTTTTATTAATACATTTTAATTATATATCTAATTTATTACTCCATACAATCACAATTATTACTCCATACAATCGGTCAAGAACGAAGGCTAAAACCAAAAATCGGGTCGAGCAAGTGACTTGCGCACACAATTTCTAAGAAGCCCACAGGAGCGCCCGCCGCAGGACACCAAGAATCGGGTCAAACTCAAACTCGGGGGGGCCTGCACTCGGTCAATGTCCACCGCCACAAGTCTAGCCACGCTTTGGCTCAAGACTGCGAGTTGCGACGGACGCTCGCTCGCCTGGATTTGTTAGTGCACTTCTATATTAGAAAAATTAAACTCCAAATTAAAAAGCATGCTTGAGTATATGTGGCAAAATCAACACCACTTTCTCATAAAGATTAAACAATTGACAAAGAAAAAAAATCAAATACCATCAGATAGTAGTGATATCTATCCACCAAAGTTTGAATGAAAGTTCAAATTTGTAGCCTATATGATAATGCCAACAAATCAAGTATTATATTTGTATTATTGTACGATTTCAAAATAGTTTAAGGTTGTAAACCAACAACAAACTACCCCACCGTATATATACATACAAAGCCAACAGGGTAGATGATTCTTTCTTCTTCGTTTTCAACGGCACCTCTCTAGTTCCTTCTTTCGTCTAGAATCAATCGTCCTCCGTTGAATTTCAGACTCCACTGCACCCCCCGAAAATTCAAAAGGTAATAAAGCAAGCAAGCACATTTACAAACACCCCCACCCAAATAAGGAATTCCCACATAATTCCCCGACACCTCTAGCTTTAGGGTAGGTTCAGAAAGAAAACTTCAACCTTAAATCTTCAATTCGAGTTCAGAATCCCCAGCTCTTCCTCTCCAAACCCTATTTCTTCCAAAATTTTCCTTTTCTTTTTTGGGGTTCCTCTTGTCTTCCGTTTCTTCTCTTATTTTTCTTTTCAGGAAAATATAGGATTTGGGAGTTAGTAATTAAAAAAATATGGAGATCAGGGGGTTGGAGATATCTGATGAATTGATGGGCACTTTTGTGCCAATAGTGATGTATTGGGTTTATTCGGGGATATATATGATGCTGGGGGGTATGGATAATTATAGGTTGCATTCGAGGAAAGACGAGGATGAGAAGAATTTGGTAGCTAAGAAGGACGTTGTCAAAGGTGTTCTTCTTCAACAGGCCGTTCAAGCCGTTGTTGCCACCCTCCTTTTTGCCGTAAGTTACCTGCAAAGAACATCTTGATCCTTACATAATGTGAAAAAAAAATGGTTTTTTTGCCATTTTGGATATGGTTTTCTGCTCTGTTCGATAGTTTTCCCATGTTAGGTGCCTTTGTACTCATGAGGTTATGCCATCGTTATCGACTGAATTTTGCAGATACGGAATTGTGGGATCATGCCTTTTTCTTTTCTTTTTTTTTTTTGTAAAAAAAAAATTTGGGTAATACCCCCCTCGTAGGTATATGTAGAGCTAATCATTATGGTGTTAAGACGATCATACTGTTATGGTGAACATGCGTGATTGTTTAGGTTTCAATTTCTTGTGATCTATCCTACATGTGGAATTTATGATAAAACAAAGTCCTTGTTCCTTTTGTGCTTTGAAATGGACTTGTATCTCTTTATTCCTGGGAGTGTGCATACGAGGAATTGTGTTTTTTTTTTTTTAAAAAACTAGGCTTGGTTCTTGGTTCAAGGTTCAGTTAACTTCAATGTTCTGATGATAAAAACAGTGCAGTTACAGAAAGATTTGAACTATTTCTATACTCGCAGCTAATTAGGAAAGTTTTCATTTATATGCCGTTTGTGTCATTTGAGTGTTTACTTTTTTCCTCAAAATATGTAGTTGGATATAGTGATTTACATGTCCATAATCTATTGGTGCTAATTTAATTCTGATGAGTACATTCATTTGGTAAGGTAGCAGTAGTTTGATGTACCCCTTCACATTAAGCCAGCTTCTATTAGTTTTTATTTGATTTTTGGAAAGTTGATCATTTTGCAGGAAGTGAAATGCTTCTTTACTGAGCTTAGATGATATTATGCCATCATATAGTTAATCAGCTTTGAGAATATTACGTTACCTACGGGTCAATTGAATTCCTGGTGAACTATTAGTTGTTGATATAATCAAACAAATTATGTAGTGATCCACTGCAACATAGTGATGGTGTGGTAACTTGGTGATTCTTAACTGGTTTTCAAGTGCTACTACACATATCACCTGTTTGATTAATCAAGCCAAATTCTGGTACAACAGGCAGCTGGGATGTTTCTATTATATACTGCTGTGCTTTTGAATGTCCTAATTCATATTGAAATCTAAACTCTCTTTTATATCAGTTTCTGCAATTGTATTTTTCTGGTTGGTTATGTGCTAACTAATGCAATGAGCTGAAGATTTGCTGCGTGTTGATGCTTAATGGGTTCTGTTGATGGTCCAGGCTACTGGAAATGATGGTGAAGCTGAAGGAGATCAACAGCGCCCCCTTGTTGATCTTGCTAAGCAGTTCTTCATTGCAATGGTGGCCTTAGATACGTGGCAGTATTTCATGCACCGATACATGCATCAGAACAAGTTTCTTTACAAGCATATCCATTCTCAGCACCATCGGCTGGTTGTCCCGTATGCATATGGAGCCCTGTACAACCACCCTTTAGAGGGGCTGATTCTTGATACAGTTGGTGGGGCCTTGGCGTTCCTCCTCTCAGGCATGTCTCCTCGGGCTTCCATCTTCTTCTTCTCCTTTGCTACCATGAAAACGGTTGATGACCATTGTGGACTTTGGCTGCCTGGAAATCTGTTCCATATTTTCTTCAGAAACAATTCTGCGTATCATGATATACACCATCAACTCCACGGTACCAAATATAACTTCTCTCAGCCATTCTTTGTGACGTGGGATAGAATTCTTGGTACTTACATGCCTTACACACTCGAAAAGAGAGTTGACGGGGGTTTTGAAGCAAGACCAACCAAAGACTACAAGGAGGATTGATGGTCTATGTCAGATTATGTACCACTGAAATTTTTGGTTCTCGTTTTTCTTGCAGATACTCTTTTTGACTGCGTAACCTGTATATATTTATACTTAGATATATTGTTGTATAATTGCTTTTTACTTTTTAAGGTACGAGTTTTTGAGACAAATAAAGAAGTCCCTCCCCTCCTAGGATGATTGGTTTTTGTCACCGTGCATGTATCCTTAGAAGATGAAAAAGTGGTTGCTGTTGAACGAACTCCTCCGTAGTGTTTTTTTTTTTTTAAAAAAAAAAAAATTTATTTAGAGAAGACTGACTGACTAAATTGGTTCATAGTGTATTACTACTAGCTCCATCTGCAAAATACACTACTAAAGTCTATAATCTATAGATGTGCTTTGAAACTTTGTCGAATTGTTGTCTGAATTTTGTTCTGGTTGGTAGTGGTAGAGAGGTCTGTTCGTAGTTCGGTGTCGCTTATTATTAGAACCAATCACATAATTATAAGCCATAATTGGATTCGAGGACCACTACCCTAATTGCCTTTTGCTTTTGCAGCGGTCGATATGCTGATCCCAGGAGCTTGGGCCGCATAATAATTGGATACACATTCTCTGGACCTTCTTCCAAAAAGAGATAAACAAAATAATAATACATTTCTCCCCATTTCCAACTTCTATTTCTTCTCAACCCTCAACCCTACCCGGAAGCATGTATATAAATCATGTGGATTGTGGACCATGACAACGAGACGCCCTTATCTCGAGCTGAATTGCGTATTTAAATAGCCCTCTTTCAAGGCTATTCTGTCAATACTGGTGTGGCGGCTAAGCCTAATTGTGGGGTGGGGAAATAATCCTAGCGGTTGGGATGTTATCAAATTTTGGTATTTCATTTTAGCTTTAAATTTCAGCTGCACAAAGCAGTATTCTTTTACATCACATTTATAGGTTTTTTTTTTTTAATCTAACTCTGACGTCTTATCATTTCATGACCCCATCCTCACATGGCTTCCTTCCAGCTTCATGCTCTAATTTGTTCCTTTCTAAGCTCTGCTGTTCTACTTTTGGTGCTCCAAAGGAAAAGCACACCTTGAGATTGCCCACAATTTTTCAGCTGATTTGATCTCTCAACTAGAGTTGCAGTAGCCCTTGTTTTTTTTTTTTTTTTCCTTTTTTAATCAGACGTGAATTCACGTCCTATTCATGCATCAATTGAGATGGGATTTTGGTTGTTTTGTTGGGAATATTTCTGTTCCTTTTCCTTTTCTTCCATTTATACGATAGTATTCTTTAATTTTATCAAATTTGAACACCAAGGAGAACTTATTCCTGTCAATGCTCTAAGCAAAAATTTCGGCTATGTTGTTTCTATCATGTGGATGAATTGATTCGATGACTTGCAGCCAGAGAGTCGTCGCGTCTTGTGCTACTGGTTGGGAACGTTCTCGTTAGAGGTTGTGCCTCTCTCGAGCTCTGCGTGTCACCTTGGACGACATTCCTTGATTGCTAAGGAAGTTGTGCCGTCTGTCAATATGAAGTTACGGGATTCATTCCTATCTTCAAGATGAACAATCTTTCATTGCTCTCTTCATTGTAACACAGCATTGAACAAAATTTATTGATCACATGGGTTGCTCAGTTCGTACTGCATAATTTATTGATCACATGTTTAAGGAACTTTCATTCCTTATGTGCATGTTCTTTCGCGTTGTTGGTGGTGAGTTCACAGTTAAAACCATCTGAAGTCTATTGGTGTGGTCCTTCACGGCAAAATTGCAATTTTTAACATCGTGCTGCTAGCATGCTTCAACAGAATCAGGATGCTTCATCATAAGCGATACCTTGAAAGTCTTGAATGTCCTAGTGCTTAAAGCTATCCATAATAATGCAAATGTACAAATCCAAAATGTCAACATATAACAACATCCTGGTCTGTGATGTTGAACAGCAAACACGAAGGTGAAATCTGGGGCTAAATCCCACCCAAATGAGATCAATGCTTTGGCAGGGCAAACTTTGCATAACATATGGGTAGATATGGATTGGCATGCTAGTAGAGTTACTATAGTTATGACTAAATGAACACTTGAAACATGAGAATTCTTTAAAAAAAAATAGGAGATAAAAAGTAATAAATGTTACAGAACTTCCATGAGATCAATGCTTATACAGTAACTCTGTAGGACGTCTAGACTGTGAGCAAGTGAACAAACGTGTGTCCTGGCCAAAATGATCATTTCTTTTGTCAAACCTGGCAACCTCATTTTCAGCATGAAACCTTGTCATTGGCATCAGGAACTCTGTTTTCTGGTGCCTGCCGGGGCATGTGTTTTCACCTGTTCTGTATACGTCTCCTGCAACTCTAACAGCTTTTTGACTGTAACATCCTGAAAGAATACCTGAACGCCTTTTCGGCATTTCTCTGACCGGTGTAGATCTCCCATTTAGAGCCATACCATTACCACGAGGATTAGCTTTTGTTGTAGTTGATCTCAGCTCTTCTGTGTCTGACATCACAGAGAAATCTGCTGCACTAGCTGTTGCAACACTCCACTCTATACTTGCTTCACTTGGAGCATAACAAGTTGTCCGTGTCATTGAGTTGTTTGAAGCTTGCCTGGTAAGATATTGGCTGGGATTGGTGGAGAAGCTTTCTATCTCAAATAAATCTGAACTTGCATCGCTGTCTGTGTCATTGTACATCCCTCTGGAGCTGGCTTGAACTTCACTTTCGTCCACCTTTGGAACAATTGCATCCCAAGTTAACATGTTCAGGCTTCTTTCAAGGCTTGAGGACTTCTTCCCTTTTCTCTCAGTTGGGGAGCCAAACACTTCTAATGATATCCGCCTAGTATCATCTTCTTCCTTTTTTCGCTGCATTTCTAGTGGATTATCCTCAGTTGTGGGATGAGATGCTGGGAACCTAAAATGACCGTTTGTGCTCAATCCAATTCCTAGTTGGTCAAACTTTCTGCAGGGTGAATCTTCCCTGATTAATGTGCTAGATTGAGACTCGCTAAGGCTAACCAAACCAACAGCTTTTGTTGGCTTTCCTGCTTTGCCATAAGCTTGCTTGCCATTAGCACTCATATTGCAATTATTTTCACCGAGTGGAATATCAATATCAACAGAGTTCTTGTCACTACAAGAACAATTGCAAGCAATATTAGCGAGGAAGCTCCTGCGATTAGCCTTGTTTGTTTTCCGTGGCAGCTGATTCCGGGGAATATTTTGCAGCAATGCATTTTGGCTGTTCCAGCTTGATTCAGAGCGAATACTTGGAGTTCCTGACCCAGTCTGTTGTTTTAGTGGATCCAATTCAGGTGGAGGGTCCATCTTTTGATCGAGCTTTGGAGAGTATTTGTCGGCAATTCGGGGAGTTTCCTCTTCAACTCCTTCATTGAAATACTTATCAGCACTAAATATATCGATTTCAGTATCTTCAGCCTTCTTGCTTACAAGGTGAAGATGATCAAGTGGGGTGGAGATGAGGGGCTCGCAGCTTTTACTGGAATCTGCAAGTTGATGCACAGAAGTTTCTTCAGAACCATTCAGGTAAGAAGAAAACGAGGCATCACGGAGATTGCTGCTATTCCTGAAAGGCACAGTTCTTGGGATGTTGGTTTCTGATGCAGTATCCAATGTGAGCATAGCCATCGAAATTATGCCTCAGTTGAAGCCTATAAGAGTGATCAAGGAGTCAACAGTTTTTTTTTTTTTTTTTAAAAGGAGAAAATAACCCTGCAGAAGAATTTTGTATGCTCAATCAAAACTGAACACAAGTGCCTTAGCACTGGACTACAAGAAAAAGTTTGAAAGAAGACTTCAGGAGTTGGAAACTACTACTACTACACGAGAAAAAGGTCTTAAAAGTATGCAGGAATTTCTCGCTTTTATAAGACAGGAGCAGTTTCAATTTGCGGAAGAAGCTTGGAGTACTACAAATAATGCAAGTTCGGTGCCAATGTGCACAAGAATTAGGTGTTATATACTATTGGGATTGGAGAGAGACTGCACTTGAGAAAGGAGAAGACTTGGATAAAAATTAAGCGAAAGGACTACTCGGCAGAAAGATTACTATGGGTTCATGTCCATATAGCCAGCCATTTCACTGTTTCAGTGACAGTGAGCGTTAGTGAAGTGCCAGTTTGCAACCTACACTTTGTTAACGTTGCTGTTATGTATTATTAACTTTTAACTGACCACTACAAAGTTTATCGTGCCTTCTTTTTTTCTTTGGTTTTTTTTTAAGGGATTGTTTTGCTGATCCTTTTGGACGCCAAATTAGGGTTGACTATCATTCGAATTGCCCATTTCTTTGACAAAGAAAGAAAGAAATGCTAGTCCATATTTGTGACTTAGAGAATCAACCTGGATCTGAATCAGAGTGTCATTTATTTGAGAATTCACATTATTGCAAATCTTGCACCAAAGCATCGCAGGGAACAGTAATTTCATCCCCAGAATTGTTAAAACTAGTCAAGGCGAAGTCCTCGACAAATCTTTCTAAAACGAGTTCAGTACAATGCAAGACAGGTGGACCAAGAAAAAATGGTCGTTCACCTGTAGTATTTTAGCCCAAATGTTTGGCTGTTGAAACTCAAAATTCAATGTCCCTGGAGTAGCAGTCAGTAGAGTCCCAAACCCCTGCTAGAATCGCATCTACTTCTTGCCGGTACATTCACATATTCATGAAATCAAAGAGTTTTAGTAAAGGTTTGAGCAGACCATAGGTTCTGTTGCTTTCATGAGATTACAGTGCCTAAAAATAATCAACTACTACATTTTAAAATGCTTCACTGTCTAATCTTGACTTGGTATCTTAAAACTTGGTGGTTAAGGTTTCACCATTAATCAACTTATTTACGTGCAACTTACGAATGTTTAATCAAATTCTAGAAAATTACTTGTCTCATTTTGCAGTCCACACTACATTATTGATCAGAATGAGTGTTCCAAGTTGCAAAAGATTAGGAAAGTATATATTCCCCTGATACGATGTTTCATATGAGGTCCTATCACCGATATTGAATTTTGTAATGTCCTGCAATGGATGTGCTTTAGAAATTTATACCTGTAGCATTGGATACACTACTATATCCTCGAGTTGGCCCAAGATGGAGACATTTCGAAACCTCCTCCTAATCGTCTTAAATAGTCATCAGAATCTTGTTAATATACCGAAGTGTGTATGACAAGCAATTTGATCAATCATTTGGTACAATTAAATCTAATCAATGCTAGATGCGACGCTCTTCATCACCACAGCTGTAAGTTAAAAGAAACGGGTTTCTGTCTTGTAATGGATTATCTCTTGCAGCAACGAAAAGCAACTTCTTGTTTGGGAGATTTGAGAGCTGAAACCATTTATGGAGGGGTAGGAATATGTCACAAACGCCTTAGAATTTGGATAGATGCTCTAGCTCTCTTCTGCCCCACAGAACTTGAATGATGAAATCCCCACCAGGCACAAGAGTAGGTGACAACAACAAAAACTACCCCCCCCCCCCAATTTCTTCCTCTTTGGTTTGCCTCTTGCATTAGTTCATCGAGGAATATTGGCCACACAAGATTCACAAAATCCTCTGAACAACAACGAAGCACGACCGTATTGCTTGTATGTTCAATAATAGAGATGTACAGGGTTCGAATACATCCCATTTGTCGGACGGCTGCTACAATTTCACCTGTGCTGAACTCATTATGGGTTCATTGTTGGTCTGCTATGCAAGCGTGGATCCCTTCTGTTCTTTATCGACATGAGATTAACCGAATCCATATAATTCAAGACGAGAATTCAAATGTCACAAAAAGTTTTGTTAGCTAAACTTGGTTTACGTACGACAATTGGGACAAGACGAGAATGCTAGTTTGACGGCAAAATTGGAATTCAGCACCACTTTCTAGTGCCGCTAGTCAAGCAAATTTGATCTGCTGAATTTCTTGATCATCTTTTTATTTTGTCGGCAGAAGACTGAAACCATATAGTCCCTTCAAGACTTGTTTCTGTCTCTCTTCATTCGTACAAGAGGCCGTAACTTTGTTCTCTTGCGACTGTATATGTGGCAGGAACTAGTTTATGGGAACCGTTTTGATCACTCTTCTGACTAAACGTAACTTTTTCTAGACTTGACTTATTTGTCATTTTACCCTTCAGTGGATGGAACTTTGAAGTTGCCCGCTGGAAACATGTATCGTACTGTCCCCTTGTCTGATGCCCACACAAATATGCCAAATTTGATACGGGGTAGAAACTAGAAAATACTATTGAGAGTTGAGACTGGAAAGGTGATGTCTATCCCGTTCTCACTTTATCTGTCGGTATCAATAATAAGCAGTAAACAACTAGTCTGTTGTACTTTGGATTTCCTCAGAACTTTTTTCGTGTAAAATCAATTGTTTTCCTTTGGTTACATAATCTTGTCATTGAAAATTGGCTGGCTGAGGACCAAGAAAAAGGAAGGCAAAGAAGCCTCAAAAACTAGCACAAGATAAAGGAAATGGTGCTTGGGAATAAGAAGCCTGAAAACATGGCGCATACGTGGTTTTGGTTGTCACCTTGAGTTAAAAAAGAGTATATTTATCCAATTGGGCAAATGAATAATAAATAAAGCAAATGTTACACAAGAGAGAACTAACAGTAACATTCTACTCCCCATCCATCCAACTGCTGCTTAAAGATATACTGATACAAAGAGTAGCCCCATCCCCAAGGTTAACCTCTTACCAGCCAAAAAAATCTCTCCTGGCAAAATGGATTCTTGATCCAGGGGTAGCTTGAAAATAGTTTTGAAGATCTACTGTGCTGCTTTTGCCGCATCTTGAGTCATGCATCTCCTCGCAGGATTCACTCTGTGGAAGTGGAGTTATTTTCTCCGGCAACCCAATACTTTTTTACTGCAATCAGGATTTTCTCAGGGACAAGGGGACCATCCTCATGATCTGTCAATTTGAAGTCCCACCTTATTCCCCTAACTATTTTCTGCACCTTGTTTAGAACATCAACTGCATCCCGGATTATAACAGCACCTTCTGGCCTCAAGATCCGGTCCATCTCCAAAAGGACGTCCTCAAAGTCACACCTGGATTGGGTAGGTCACAGATAAATATGAATTCTAGATCATATGTGTAGGCATTCAACAGCCTCACAAAGCAAATGACACTACTGTATTATGATGACAACAGTGACAAGAAACGACAAAAGAAAAAGAGAAGCCAAAGTAGGATCCAGGTGCTGTAATTAAGCATTTTTGAGTTAATCAATAGCAGGATTTAAAAGTACATGGCTATTCAAAAACGACTGGATCAACTTTTTAACAAACATACAAATCTTTCTAACCCAGGACACAGTAGGAGCAGATGTAGCACTTCTGTTCTTCATTTAATTTGATTGATAGCCTAAGTGCGGTTGAGTAATAATAAAGAACAGAAAATGATGACTAAGACGTGATTATGAAGAATAGTCAACATGGAGATTTCCCAGAGTCGCAGAATTACAATCTGAGCACTAATTGGACATAGCCTTGTAAATGAGCATCTCAAAGACATATTAAGTTTATAGTGCAATCCTGAAGGCCATTAGGCGTGTAAAAAGCAATCTATCAAGCATCGACCTAACACAAAGCCAAAAAGCAATGCTTACTTGTCCTTGTATAAGCTGAAAAGGCCGTTAGCATGAATGAGATCATACGTTCTTGGGTATGTGGAGAAGCCTTCACACCTGAATCAGAAATATAGCAGTGAGGATAACATTGTTAAACTTCCGACAGATTGCTATGCTACACCAGTCAATCCCTAAATATTGCTGAGCAAAAGGAAAAGGCATAATACCAGTCATGATAGATGCCTATTAACCCTCTTTCATAAATAACACCCAGTGTATTCTTCTCAGCAATTGTAGGCACAACATTCATAACCCACAATTTGGGAGATTCAAGTGCTGCAGCAAAACCACCCAATCCAGCATTCATATCCATAATATTACGATACCTGCCAGAATCAAGGATTTTATTGATTCTCTTATAAGCATTTACATGCCTTTTCCATTTCTTACTGTCCTCCTGGTATGATTCAGCAGAGACTCCACGAACTGATCCACTAGCAATTCTTTGGGGAATAGCATAAAGCCTCTCAGGGAAAGGCTTGATACTTTCTCCAGATGCTTCATCACCCTTAACATCAGATGGTGTTATACATTCCTCCATTTTCTTGTACCTGTGTATTAATTGAGTACAAACAAAAGCAAACAAACTCAAATGTTAAGAAGATTAAGCATCTTTAAAGTTTAAAATGACAAGATAAGTAGAGAAGAGGAAACAAGTTCAGAATATGGCCAACTCAAGGAATCCTTGGATACAAAACTACATATGTTCCTCCCTTTTTTCTGGGGTGGGGGGGGCTTGTGCAAGACAAAGGAGAACTTCTCAAGATTAAAAAGCATTTAGAACACAGGAATTCTCTTATTTAACAGAATCAACTTCTTGGTATAAATATCCATATGAAAAGTAATAAATTGTTCAGCTGATTTTCAAACTGAATTTAAATTCCAAGTAGCCAATGTATCGATCAGTATTGCCATTCATCATGCACTATTTTTTGGTAATGGAACCAAAATATAGTTTCTCAGGTTCAGCCCCTACCTAAAAGCGGGTTACATCTGCTATCAATTTGGTGTTCCATTTGCTTCAACACAAATCAAAGGTAAATAAAATACAAGTTTACACGATTCCCTAAAAAATGGTCATCATACAGGATAAAATCACGCTCTCATAGATTTTCCAATTCATCAGGAAATGATAGTACATCTAAACTGCAAAGTTATGACTAATACACTGTGTGTCAGGACCACATTCTGAACCTTCATAATTCTTCTGCCGCAACACCCCCCCCCCCCAAAAAAAATTAAGCTAGGACTTCCAATCATTAAATTCTCACTATATGATATCATTTTCAAATCTAGTGCGCGGGAGCTATCTTTTGAGAACACTAAATGCATGATTTTCCCCATGTTTCATCCAATAAGCATTTAAGAACTAGTGCAATTAAGTGATCCGCCAGAGCTCAACCTAAAGGAGAATTTTTAACGGGCAAAAGTAATCCAGGCATAACAGGTTGAGCTAACCCAATGGTTCACACAATATGGACGAATGGCACCTCATTATTGGCTTTTTACCACCTGGAATTAACAAGTTTTGGGGAAGCTGGCTTTTCTAGCTTAATAGCATACAATTATTTCTTGGTTAAAAGGAAGTAAGAGGCAAAAGCACATAACTACAGAGGATACAAAGATGACACTTTGCCTTCCACAAGTTCAATGTTTTCCCCTTATGTCCTCCTTAGCTGCTTTAGAAAAACTATCTATGTGATGAGTATAGAAGCATACCAAACATCATCTGGGTCTGAAGCTTTGCAAAATGTAGCACCAGAATTTTCTTGTTCAGCCCGGCAAGAGTCAGCATCAATTCTTTTCTGCCATATTGCAATTTCAGCCTTCTCGGACTTCTTCTCCCAGCAGAGAAGTTTAGCAATTTCTTCAATCTTTCTCTGCTCTTCCTCAAGATCCTCTTTGGAGCGCTGCCATGCCTTGTAGTTGGTCTTCCAATTGATGGGAGGACCAGAAAGAACCCAATATCCTCCAGGTCTAAGAACTCGATCAACTTCCTTCATGTACATGCCATCTACAAGGTAAAAAACCAGATATGCAGTCAAAAACTGCTTCAATGAAATCCAGTAACAGAAATAGTAAAGATATTTGACCCTGAAAAAAGACAGATTTAAAAGGAGATAATCAAAGAAAAAATGCAAGCAGGAAAACGCTAAAAGTCTGCTTCAAGTGAAGAATATTTCAAGTTGAAAATTTTTTCAAACTTAGATTGAACTTTCTACACAAAAAGACAAAACAATTACATAAATCCTCACCATTAGCTCCCCATGGAATCAGACAACGGGAACAATGTGCCATGTCAAAGGCTCTAGAAGGATAAGGCATTTTTATTGTTCCAAGAACACCAATAACAGCAGGTACACCCCTTTCCAAAGCAAACTGAACCTGGGCTTCATGGGAATCTCTTGGTGCAAATGACATAGTGATAACTTTTCTCCTCCAAAGATATGCTCCCCAGCTTGCAACCTAAATCCAATAAAAGACTCACTGTTAGAACAATTATCAAAATTTGAAAAGGTACATTCCTGTTTCAGAGTATATGAGGATACTAGGAGTCGGAAAACAACTCAGAGAATTGTTAAGTAGAACTTTGACTGACATACCCCACAACCAGTGTCAAGAGCAGTCCGAACAGTCCCGTTCTCAATAGGTATCACAGAAGCAAGTTGATCGATATATTTGTCTGCCCCTTGAGGAAACTGAGTCCCCCCACCAGGGAACCTGAATACACTTCCCTCATACTGAATCCAATTCTGAATAGCCTTCTCAACCGTCAAGCTTTTATATGGTGCATTGGCATAGGGAACATAGTCACGACTCTTAGGCCACCTAAATGGGGTCACATACCCATTGGGAGCAGGAATAAGACAGTGCAACTTCTCTTCTTGAGGAGGACAGTGCCTTTCCCTATAGTTCATATTTTCTCTTGGGAACTTCATAGCCCGGTTTTGGTCTTGGCATGGAGTATAATCAGTGTAGCGAGGTTTGCATGGCTTAATCTCTTTCACATTTGAATCAGAATCTTCAATCATTCCAGCTCCACCACCATGATGGGTCTCAAAATTTAGATTTGGAATCACATTGCAGGCAGCACCATTCTTGGTAACCTCCAAAGCTATACTGTCTCCCTTCCCAAACCCACTTCTCTGCCATGCTCCAAGCAAATAAAAGAAACAGCAGAGACCCGCTACTATAAATATCGATACAGAACTCCTAGTCCTACTATCCCCTGCGTTAAGTTTGTTTGCCATTCCTGGAATAGATTCGTAGAAATGAGTTTACCCAGATCACAAGCCATATGTGAACTAAAAACACAGAGAAAATCCACACAGTGGCTTTCTTTCCTCTATCAGTAGTTTTTGGCATATGAATTATTATAATTTAGATCATAATGCATAGAGCACAAAGAACTAGGAGGATGCGCTTGGGAATTCTCTCAGGTGGGCAATAAATGGATTTCACTAACACCACAAGTTCAGATATTAAGCCAGTTAACATCAGGAAAAACTGAATTCCAGCTACAACATAGACCAAGAGAAGCAGCATATTTGATGACATTGTATAGACTTTGGGTACAGATTACGGGTGCCCTTTTCTTGATTTGATGTATTCAGCTAAGAGGCAATCCCTTCTGTAGTGTACATTCTCTTCTTAATGAATAAAAGATTAGGAATTTACCAAGAAAGAGAAACAAAACAAAAAAGGAGAAACAGCATAATAGTATTCTCACACGCCACCTAATTACTAGGATCACAAAACATCCCATGAATCCACTTCAGAAAATCTCTTTCTAGAAAAACATTAAAGGGCCCAACAACATTTCCCAAAACTGAGCATACACCCAATTCAACCACTTGGAAAGCCACTTGCAGTGTACAAAATCAACTATTACCATAAGAATAGGTCCACGACAGCTACCGAAATTAAAGCTTCTCAATCCAAACAACCAACATTACATCAACTAAAAATCAAAGCATCTCTGGATGCTTTATGGATGCTTTATGTTCAACTTAAATCTACACTCATCAAATGAAGAAAGAAGAAAAAAAACTCACCATAAAGCCACCAAAATTCAGATTGTCAATACCAAACCAAGATTCTAAATATTAAAAATAAAAAAAAAAACACAACTTTTTTTTGCATCTTTCTGAATTGAACTCGTATTTAAATACGCTGAATCCAGAAGGGATGATAGATCAGCTAAAAGGGTCTCAAAAAAATTACCAATCACATCAAAATCGCAGCTTTCTCAACGATCCGAATCCTCTCTCTCTCTGATTATCAACAATGAAGATTACAAGGGCACAACAGAAGATGCTGAATTCCAGCAAAACATGTGGGTTCTGATTTCCAGGAAGGCTGTCCCAAAGCTCAAAGATTCAATGTTGAAGGGAAACCTGCGTTTGAATCAATGCTAGTGGTGCAAATATAGCAAGTGAATGAATGCTCTAATATAATAGATACGCGGACTTGTAGATCATCAAAGCACACGTCAATCTCTCTCACACAGACACACACTAAAATATCGTACGACAAAAGCAAATCTCGAGCGCTCTCATGTTTTCAAGTTAATAATAGTAGTGCTAGCACTGATCTAACCAAATGTTACGGGCTTTCTATATTTTGGAGTCCCGTACACTTTAGGTCTACAAAGGCCAAGCCAATGAGATGGTGCCCTAGCGTCATGGGCTACAAAATATATGCGACAAGTTTTCGAAATATGACTCTTTAAAAAAAAATTCATTATTTAAACTAACAGAATATGATTTTTTTTTTTTGCAAAGAAATTCTTTGTTCTTACATCAAAATAAAATTGTGTATATTAAAGGACATATTTGTGCTTGATTGATATTTTTAAGTACTTAATCGGATTGGAATAGAGAAATTCTAATCTGATTAACTAAACAAATCCCTTGCGGCGTAATTGAAACCAGTTTAGAACCCTTGTAGTTCTAGGTGAGGTGGAAGAATGCAATTGGTCTGGTATTGGAACACCGGCTGGACACCCATGACCGGCATCATAGCAACCATAAACTATTATAGTAGTCTAAATCAGACCAATTCCAATAGGGCCAGAAATCTGTGGGAAGGCAAATGGGAGCCACACGCGAATAAAGTTGTAAAGCACCACTACTCCTCGTCCCTTCATTCACCTCTTCAACCTCAAGGCCATGGAGATGGGGCCCAGAGTTGATTAAGCCTTTGACATGGGGAAACAGTCTGCAGCTCAGCGGTGGATATATATAAATACTGGGGTAGTATACATTCTGAATATTATAGGATATTGATGCGGTGTGGGGCCGAGAGCATCTACAAGTAGAATATATGTGTTGTGATTAGGGCCGTAAACGAATCGAGTCGCTCGAGTCAAGTTTGACTCAAGTTCGATCATATCGAGCTCAAACTCGAATTCGAGTTGGTTTGAGTCGAAATCGATCTCGAACTCGACCTCAAGATATTAAGCTCGTTCACTCACGAGTGGGGTATATATATATATATATATATATATATATATATATATATATATATATATATAATATTATTTATTGATTTTTAAAAAATAAAATAATTATTTTTTTTATTTTTTTCAAGCTCAAACTTTAAACTTTCGGTTCCTCGAGTTCGAGTTCACTAAAATTAATTCAAAACTCGGCTCGATTAGATTAAAACTCGACTCGACTCGACTCGACTCATTTGCAACCCTAGTTGTGATGTTGAAAGCATACATATATATATATATATATATATATACATATACATAGAAGAAATTCATAGTCTTGATTAGCTCCATAACCTTACGTTATACATCCAGCTAGTTAAGTCATCATTATTCATGTGTTTAGGATAAGTTTGCTCAGGATACATTCGAAATACGATCAATCTTTTTCTCTTTGTTACTTTTTCTTCTTGGAAAATAAACATGCTAAACTCTCTACTTAGAAGCAGGGTCTTCTTTCTAAACTTGTTTTAAGTCCAAAAAAACACAAACAAATGGATTTCTTTAATAGTATCATATTGCTTCTGCTATTGTCATTTCAACCAAAATTCTTTCCTCCTGTTTTTCAATTTCTTTCCATTTTGGGGAGAAGAGAGAAGGTTACTGGAAGATGGAGTAGCTTTCACCATCATCTCAATGTCTGATTGACTTTTATCTGTGTTATCGTACAACATGAAATACCAGCTTGATAAAAAGTTGTTCAGAAGAGAAGTAGATGAACAGCCAAAGAAATTTAGTAAACATTACTAGTATATGATATGGGTACACGGAGTGAACAAGAATGGAAAGGACCGACATAACTAACAACTTCTGGTCTCGTAAAAGAATCAACAAGGTATCCAAAAAAAAGTAAAATACAAAAAACCTAATTTACCAAAATGTCCTTTATGATTTCAAATCAACATTTCGATTCTTCATTATTTGAACTAATTTGAAACAGCAACAGAAATCATCAAAACTAATAGACGTGGATGAAATGACACACTTACCCTAATATATATAAGTACTAAAAGACCTTTTAACGACCATCCTATTAAGCAAAACTTACGGAAAAACTTCTTGTGGTTAAGTCAACCTACGAAAAAACCTCCTATGGTTACATATTGCTTTTATTTACTTATTTTGTATATAGGAATAAGGTAAGTTGTATTTGAAAGTTTTTGTTTATTTATTTTATGTATAGAAATAAGGTGAGTTGTATTTAAGAGTTTTGGGTTGTTTTTGAAAATTTTATAAAACAAATCAGCATTTGGTAGAGTTTCTGGCTTAATGTGATAGAGTACCCAATGTAAATTGGTGCATTTTGAAGTCATGTTCTCCTTGCACTTTATTGGTCTCTCTACAGCTAATCATTACACTTCATTGCATAATATACCGGAAACTTTTTGTTGAGAATGCTACCTCAGTAGATTGTTAGGAGCTGAAGAGTAAACTATTTAGTTTTTTAGTTTTAGTCACCAATTAAGCTATATTTGAAGTTTGTTGCAAACACCTTTATGATTTCAGACAATTGTAAGAGCCAACCAGGGTAGATGGTTGGAGTACGTAATCATAATTTTCTTTGACCATTGACAATATTGTTGGAGTGATAACACCATGGCTCAGACGGTGGACCTGTCTTCAAAGATCCAATGGTCCAGATTGTGCCACATCATTATATGAGATAGTGTGACACAATCTGGGTCATTGGATCTTTGAACAATCTGGGTCTACTCAAGTCTAGGCCATTGTGGATACATATAAAATGAACGGGATTTTAGACATTAGCTTTGCAGATCTGCCACTAAAAAGGGTTCTTTCAGTGACAAATCACCATACTCATCTACTGAAATTAAGAAAGAGAAATAGATTATCCAAGCTCTTAACTTCACCCATTCTTTTTAGCACAAAGGATCTGCAAATGGCTATGGTATTAGGCCTAGAACAAATTTACACATCCACAATTTTACACATGCACATTAGTTACAAATAGGTTTGAACAACTGAAATATTCCGTGTTTGCAGCTCTAGCTGACATACACATATAAATGTAACCATGAAATTAGTTCTTTGGACTTCTGCATTCAAGTATAGAGAAAACAAGTAAAGGTTGTGTCTCTTTTATAAACCAGAATACTGCTATGCCCATTTGTTGTCAGAAATTCGCATGAGCTAGAATTTAGATACTAATATATGACATTCATTAAAAAGAAACTAATTTGCATTGTACTCCTATGGTGCTTATGCGAGTAAATTTGGACTTGGTGTTTGCCTTTGATTTTTGTTATTCTTTTGGTTCAAAACTCTAGATTATACTACTATAGCCATTTGCTGTAAAAAATGTGAATGAGCTAGAACTTAGATACCAATATCATGAAATTCATTGAAAAGAAACTGATTTGCATTGTACTCCTATGGTGCTTATGCGAGTAAATTCTGGTCATGGTGTTTGTCTTTGAGTTTTGTTATTCTTTTGGTTCAAAACTTTAGATTAACAAGTTATTGTAAATGTCATCGTCATACCTACCCACTCTCTAATTGTAGCGTACACCTTGTATTCTAAGGCTCGTACAAACTTTTACTGCTGATAGATGGATCAGTAATTAAACTGTAACGTTTTTCCTTTTTTTGACATTTGTCTTTTATTTTTTAGTTGTACGAGGTGGTCCGTAAAGAAATTTGGTATAGGCCAGATATGTTCTTCTACAGGGATATGCTAATGATGCTAGTGAGAAATAAAATGGTAGACAAAGCCGTGAGTGTATGGGATGACTTAAAGAGGGAAGGCGTGTTTTTTGATCAGCATACCTTTGGTGACCTCATTAGGGCCTTCTTAGACTGTGGACTACCGAAGGAAGCAATGGACATATACGAGGAAATGAGGTTATCTCCTAATCCCCCGCTATCATTGCTTTATAGACTGATCTTGAAGGGGCTCCTCCCATATCCAAAATTGAGGGAAAAAATAAAAGAAGACTTCTTGGAACTTTTCCCTAATATGGTTGTTTACGACCCCACCTAAGGACTTATTTGATGATCAACAATAGGAAAATGACGATGTAGATGGATGAGTAGTAGTGGATGTTGCAATGAGAAAAAAGCTTACTCTATGGGCACTAGAAAAGAAAACTTAAGATATCCATGTGAGAAAAAGCTTATTTTATGGGCACAGAGAAACAAACTCCCGTGATATCCGACTAATTTCTTAAAATAATTCTCAAAAATAGATTTGTTTTAAAAATGAGAGTATTTGAGGAGAAAGGATCCTTTGTCCACTATGTTTTTTCACTTTACTGTCCCATGCAAAATTACGTACTTTTATTTATTAATATTACTAGTGTGGCACATAACATTGAATGCATATTTGGGTGTATTTGGTAAATAGATTTCAAAATCAATTTTAACATAGATAGCCTACTTTCTGAATCAACATGTGACAGGTGTCGAGTCTGTGAAATAATAATTACCTACTTAAGAAAAATACAAATTTGTATATTGCGGTGAGCAAGGTCGAATTCACAGGAATTAGGGAAAATTCGTTTATTCTAGAGTTCACAGCATGGGGAATTTTTGGAAAATATAAAATAACTAATTAACAGACTAATAAAACAACTAACAGAAATTAATAGAATTAATCGATAATAAGTACAAGTGTATAACTCTAGTCAAAGGTGCAACTTTTCAGACACAATCCATTCAACTGATCATCGATACAATGATAATTCAATTACTCATTAATAGATTGGTTATAGTTGTCATACACGCGATAAACAACCCATTTTTCCTTACTTTTTCGATAGTCAAGGTACGACTGTTAACTATTTTCCAAACTAAAAAATAACTCTAGGTACGGCCGTAGGATTCAATTTCTCAATTGCATTAAGAATTAGAAAAGCCCAACTCTAACCAACAAGCACACTACGAGGGTTTATTTAAATTAGATCATACGTTTTCCTAATATGAGACTAATCACACTAGTCGCCACTAGTATTAATCGATTAAATAATTACGGATTCAATCAATTAATCTGGCAGTAAATTATTAGGTTAATTCGAATATCGAGACCTTGACATTCAAACAA